CACCACACCAAGCTTCACACCACGAGCATGCATGTATACATACATATATAACTGAAAACTCGAACCCCATACTGCCAGGAGCACTCTGCAACTGGTGTACAGGGCCCCTTAACCACTCGACCATCACGACTAATGGTCGTGATGGTCGACCATTCTGGCTTGTTCGCATACATACATATACAGGAACACGTCTATGGCAGGTGTCGAGTAGCCAGATATAAGAACGCCTCAAGAACCTGTACATAGAATTCGCACCTGTACAGAGTAACCTCAACTTTATAAGAAACTAAATTTTTTTGAGATATATACAAGAGTTGTTACATTCTTGTACAGCCACTAGTACGCGTAGCGTTTCGGGCAAGTCCTTAATCCTATGGTCCCTGGAATACGATCCCCTGCCGCGAAGAATCGTTTTTTCATCCAAGTACACATTTTACTGTTGCGTTAAACAGAGGCTACAGTTAAGGAATTGCGCCCAGTAAATCCTCCCTGGCCAGGATACGAACCCATGACATAGCGCTCGCGGAACGCCAGGCGAGTGTCTTACCACTACACCACGGAGACTGTATGTCACAACGGTGGCTCCAGAACCAACCAGGCCTACGGTAGACACGCTAAGCAGTTTACACAACACCGTGAAAAGTACAACTTGAGGAGACATGATTACAACATGTAAAATTATACAAGAGGCAGGAAAAAAAAGTTACACTAAATTACACAAGAGCTGCACACGGATATACAAGCCGAGACTACACGACTGTTGCTCTGCTCTCAAAGGTTAGAAAAGTTAACTTATCCCAGACAGTGACTGACAGACTCGCCCTACATTTCAATATGACAGTGTGCTGTCAACCCACACCTACGGCGCTGATACTGTCAACGCTTCGTCTATCAACAGATGTCACACACACACACACCTATAATCCAGGCTGTCATCTACCCAACCCGTCCTCGCACTTTCTTACAGTCAATATTGACTTATTTAATAAGTGCATATGTGACATACTAAACAAACTAGTTTACCTTGAAAAGCTTCATAGACAACACCGATCTTACCTAACCTTCTTAGTATGTTAAGATAAGCATCTTATTGCTTCGTAATTACAATTATTACTTAACCTATACCTATAATAGGGTAAGTAATAATTACGAAGCAATAAGATGCTAAACTTAACATACTAACAAGGTTAGGTAAGATCGGTGTTTTCTATGAAGCTTTTCAAGGTAAACTAGCATGTTTAGTATGTCACATATGTACGTATTTAATAAGTCAATATTGACTATACGAAAGTGCGAGAACGGGTTGTCACCTACGAGAGACGCAACCAAGCCGTAAACCCACCAGTGGGTAACAGCCTGGTTGATCAGTCCAGCAACCAGGAGGCCTGGTCGACGACCGGGCCGCGGGGACACTAAGCCCCGGAAGCACCTCAAGGTAGGTAGGTGGCCTCCAGAGTCACGCGGCAGGAAGTGCGACAGACGAACATTACATCAGCACACACACACCCTGGCGGGCGGGGACCCGACAGCTAAACCACGCTTCCTCTACACAAAATACCAGAATATGAACCTGCAGAGCTCTTTTCACCGGCCCAACCACTTGAGTCGCTGAGCAGGATGAGGACTCGAGTGTCTCCAGTCAACTAAAAATGCCACAAGATTGTACTGACGGGTGAATCCAAGACGGTAAATTGTAGGAGGAGGACGAGGAGGAGGACAAGGAGACCAAGGACTAGGAGAGAGAGAGAGACGACTGCGGGAAGAAGGTGCTGAAGTAAATAAATAAGGACGCCATTGCAAGGCCATTAAGTGTCAAAGGATCACAAGAGCCTTCAATGTTGTCAGGTGCTTGTGTGTCGAGTGTTGACAAGTTTAGTTCACGGTGAAGGACACGACGAGACGCCCCCAGGAAGAGACGCCAAGACGAGGGAAGAGCCTCTCAAGTATTCACCTAGTTGTGCTGGAGGGGGTTGAGCTCTGGCTCTTTGGTCCCGCCTCTCAACTGTCAATCAACTAATTTTTGTTTTCTTTCCATCACACAATAGTGTGATGGATCACAGTGCTCCAATAATGCACTAACGCCATCATTTGGTGCTTTATATAACCTAATACACCAATATTCTCAAGATTTCTGCCGGACAGTTAATTGTTTATCAGCTTGGAGCGGTCGGTACAGCGAAGTCTCCCCTTCTTGCCGGTCGGCGTTCGATCCCCCGATGACCCTAAATGGTTGGGCATCGCTCCTTCCCTCCCACGGGAGACATCTCCCGTCACGCAGGGTGCAGTCGCACCTCCACAGATCTACAGTATCATCTACTGATACTGGAAATGGCTCAAAAGGGCCACCACTTACGGGCTATTCATGCCCGTGCCACCTTTTGGGTGGCTTAATCTTCATCAATCAATCAATCACCTTCCCTCCATCCTATCCCAGCTCCTCCTCTTTTCCCCCCATTCTGCTCCAGCTCCTCCATTCTACTCCAGCTCCTTGTCCTCATTTCTCTTCTAAGTCCAATATGATCACACTGGCTTAGCACTTCCTCCTCACAATGACCCTTGCATGAAGAGAGAGAGAGAGAGAGAGAGAGAGAGAGAGAAGATTAAGCCACCCAAACGGTGGCACGGGCATGAATAGCCCATAAGTGGTGGCCCTTTTGAGCCATTTCCAGTATCAACAGATGATACTGGAGATCTGTGGAGGTGCGACTGCACCCTGTGTGACGGGAGATGTCTCCCGTACGTGCATGAACACTCAGGTGTACATTAACACAGGTACAAGGGGCGAGAGGAGAGCCCACAAGGTTCATCTGTCGTGTCAGTAACTCTCAGCTTTCTCCATCAGCTGTTGCTGGCTAGGCTTTGTTTACACCCACGTCAAATAAATCCACAAGGGCCGTGACGAGGATTCGAACCTACGTCCGAGAGCATCCCAGACGCTGCCTTACTCGACTGAGCTACGACATGGTAAAAGAATTGCAACCAGAATTTCTACTGAATTTACCTGAATCCTGCAGCCTCTTCGAGACACAAACCAGGATTTTACACAACTCCCCCCATAAGCCACTCGAGCTATGTCAATAGGCCGTTCTCCCTCTTCGCCTTTACCACATTACACACAGAAATTTGATGCACCACGCTATTGTGGTTTCTGTGTGCACCGGCGACCAGTCTACTGGCAGTACAGGCCAGCACTGGTGCCGCCCCAGTGCCGGTTGATCAGTCCAGCAACCAGGAGGCCTGGTCGACGACCGGGCCGCAGGGAAGCTAAGCCCCGGAAGCACCTCAAGGTAGCCCCTCGCTCACGGTCCACGTCCCGGGCATATGCTAGCCACGTCCAACAGCCTGGTTGATCAGTCCAGCAACCAGGAGGCCTGGTCGACGACCGGGCCGCGGGGACGCTAAGCCCCGGAAGCACCTCAAGGCAAGGTACTCGCGCACGCAGCTGTAAATATTGACTTTTGTATGTAAACAATCACCGCTCCAGGAAAGGAAAGTCGTGTATATTTGATCAAATACTTTTATGACCCGATAATAATAACAGAAAACATTGGGGAATGACGGAGATAAAACCAAGAGAGGGCCGACCAGCTGAGGCTAACAGAACAAGATGCACTGAACAAAAGACTGAAGTCTGGGTACCATAAGTCTTCCTCGTCTGCCAGATAACTGTTGACACGGCCCCGTGCAAGTCTGTCAGGCCTAGTCAAGCTAAAGAAAACGGGAATAACTCGCTCAAGTTACAACCCCGCTCCTGTGCCAGGTAAGTCCACTACGGGCTCACCATAGCCCGTGCTACTTGCCCCGCTCCTGTGCCAGGCAAGTCCACTACGGGCTCACCATAGCCCGTGCTACTTGCCCCGCTCCTGTGCCAGGCAAGTCCACTACGAGCTCACCATAGCCCGTGCTACTTACCTGGCACAGGAGCGGGGCAAGTCCACTACGGGGCTCACCATAGCCCGTGCTACTTACCTGGCACAGGAGCGGGGCAAGTCCACTACGGGGCTCACCATAGCCCGTGCTACTTACCTGGCACAGGAGTGGGGCAAGTCCACTACGGGGCTCACCATAGCCCGTGTTACTTACCTGGCACAGGAGCGGGGCAAGTCCACTACGGGGCTCACCATAGCCCGTGCTACTTACCTGGCACAGGAGTGGGGCAAGTCCACTACGGGGCTCACCATAGCCCGTGCTACTTACCTGGCACAGGAGCGGGGCAAGTCCACTACGGGGCTCACCATAGCCCGTGCTACTTACCTGGCACAGGAGCGGGGCAAGTCCACTACGGGGCTCACCATAGCCCGTGCTACTTACCTGGCACAGGAGCGGGGCAAGTCCACTACGGGGCTCACCATAGCCCGTGCTACTTAGAACGTTTTGTTCCCAGTAGCTGAACCTTAAAAACAACAACAACGGGAAAGAACTGAAAGAGACAGGCGCTTCTGGGAACAAATCCACAAGGGCCGTGACGTGGATTCGAACCTGCGTCCGAGAGCATCCCAGACGCTGCCTTAATCGACTGAGCTACGACATGGTCAAAAGGAGTTCAAGCATCCCGTCATGAAGATGAAGAAACAGCTTCTGAGAACATCCCGTGCCTAGGTTCGAACCCTCATCACGACCTTTGTGGATTTGTTCAGTACTCCCCGGTGGTCGTGACGACCAGTGACGTCATCGTCATTAAGGGGGGGGGGCGGGTGGTGACGAGGGGGGGTAGTGCCCCCCCCCCCCCAAGGCCCAGTACTCACCCCCGTTTATAATACAAGTTAACCTGAGAAATTAATTTAGGAAAGACCTGGGGTAAATACTGGTTTTGGAAACATGATTGTCGATTTACGAAGCGAGTAACATAATAAATGTACAATCACCCGAGTGTTTCAAGCGTAGGTTAGACATATATATAATTGAAAAATGCAAATTAATTCAGAATTACTCAATTTTCTTCTTAGTTTTAAGACAATGTAGTCTTAAAAAAAAAAAGATAATCTGTTGCGGAAACAAACCTCGATACACGACTTCGAAGGCAAATATAAGATGCCCGTAGTAACCAAAGCTTAAAGGCGGGGTTTAGATGCTAGAGTTCGATCCCGCAAACACCTTCCAGTACCCCAAGGTGTCCATAGCCAGAAGGGAGCGTACACACACCTTTACCCCGCCAGCTCACGGGTCATCACATAAGCCTACCTGCGAAAAGAAACGGTTTATGTTAGAAATGAAACAAAAGAAATGAAAAAATAAACCACCACTGGCAATTCAATAGATATATGGGTTATAAGTGTCTATAACCATTATATAATGTGTGGGTCAACACCCAATGTTCCCACTAACGTGTGGGTCAACACCCAATGTTCCCCCTTACGTGTGGGTCAACACCCAATGTTCCCACTAACGTGTGGGTCAACACCCAATGCCCCCCCCCCCTAACGTGTAGGTCAACACCCAATGCCCCCCCTAACGTGTAGGTCAACACCCAATGCCCCCCCTAACGTGTAGGTCAACACCCAATGCCCCCCCTAACGTGTAGGACAACACCCAATGCCCCCACTAACGTGTAGGTCAACACCCAATGCCCCCCTAACGTGTAGGTCACTTAGGAGGCTGGTCTATCACTGGAAAGTTATCTTTCTGAACACTAAACACGGGGACACTAAAAGCCCCGAAATCATCTCAAGATAACCTCAAGATAACACTTAAAATATCTACATATTTACTAAGAGTCTTGAATTCAAGGAATTCCATTACGCTGTCGTTGAGTCAAACACTTGATCTGTACATCACTTGATATACACATGAAGATTTGTATCAGGAACGGTAACAATTAGCAAGGCAGTTTTGGCCCGGAGTTAACAACTTGATTAGTGCCACCTGTTAACATCTCAACCACTAACAACCGCTACTGAATTACCACATCATTAGCATGAGTGTCGTCAACCACCACCACTACCACTAGCCTTATGGGGGCCGGTGGCTGAGCGGACAGCACGCTGGACCCGTGATCCTGTGGTCCCGGGTTCGATTCCGGGCGCCGGCGAGAAACAATGGGCAGAGTTTCTTTTCTGCCAATGCCCCTGTTACCTAGCAGTAAATAGGTACCTGGGAGTTAGTCAGCTGTCGCGGGCTGCTTCCTGGGTGTGTGTGTGTGGGGGGGGGGAATAGTAGTTAGTAAACAGTTGATTGACAGTTGAGAGGCGGGCCGAAAGAGCAGAGCTCAACCTCCGCAAGCACAACTAGGTTAATACAACTACGTGAATACAACTAGGGGAATACAACTAGGTGAATACAACCTGCATATCCACGCACCACCGCCGCCATGCCTTTGACCTCAAGACGTTAGGATGGGTGACTTCCGGTGGCGGGTGCGGTGGAGGCTGTACGCAGACAGCTGCATCCACATAACTGGAGATGCTCCCCGGAGACCCTTACGGGCTCACCATAGCCCGTGCTACATGGACACTTTGTTCTCAGTAGCTAAATCTAAAAACAACAACAACCCGGAGACCAACTGCCAGATGAAGGCAGATATCGACACACGGAGAGAGAGAGAATTTAAAAAATACGATTTGGGGCGACTTGACATGACAGACCTAGGGAGACCAAGGAACAGAACTCTGCCCTAACGCTATTAATACTATAGTTAACCAAGACCCGTGAACGCTTAGTGTACTACCTGGTACACAATAACTGGGGCGCGGGGAACACTAATCCTCCACACCAGTCGGTATGTCAGGTCAGTCAGTCAAGTCAAGTCAAGTCAAGTCAAGTCAAGTCAAGTCAAGTCAGGTCAGGTAGGTCAGTCAGTCAGTCAGTCAGTCAGTCAGTCAGTCAGTCAGTCAGTCAGTCAGTCAGTCAGTCAGTCAGTCTCAGTCAGTCAGTCTCAGTCAGTCAGTCTCAGTCAGTCAGTTTCAGTCAGTCAGTCAGTCTCAGTCAGTCAGTCTCAGTCAGTCAGTCTCAGTCAGTCAGTCTCAGTCAGTCAGTTTCAGTCAGTCAGTCAGTCAGTCAGTCAGTTTCAGTCAGTCAGTCAGTCAGTCAGTCTCAGTCAGTCAGTCTCAGTCAGTCAGTCAGTCTCAGTCAGTCTCAGTCAGTCAGTCTCAGTCAGTCAGTCTCAGTCAGTCTCAGTCAGTCTCAGTCAGTCAGTCAGTCAGTCAGTCAGTCTCAGTCAGTCTCAGTCAGTCAGTCAGTCAGTCAGTCAGTCAGTCAGTCAGTCAGTCAGTCAGTCAGTCAGTCTCAGTCAGTCAGTCTCAGTCAATCAGTCTCAGTCAGTCAGTCTCAGTCAGTCAGTCTCAGTCAGTCAGTCAGTCAGTCAGTCAGTCCAAGCTTTTTGCGTTCACCTAATGCTCAGAAAGACCACCTGAGGCCTCTTAGCAAACACTCAGAATTATAAACAATTGCCTAATCCGGATACTCACACCTTTGTCTAATCCGTATACTCACCACTTTGCCTAATCCGGATACTCACCGCTTTGCCTAATCCGCATACTCACACCTTTGCCTAATCCGGATACTCACACCTTTGCCTAATCCGGATACTCACCGCTTGTTAATTCTCAATGATTCAGATGAACTGTACACAATACGGGTTCTGCGTCCCAGTGCAAAGGAAAAAAAGTACACGTTTTTCACCCAGAGTGTTCCGTAATATGTTTATTGTTTGTGATCTGTGTGTATATATGCAACCCGTTCTCGTACTTTCGTATAGTCAATACTGACTTAGTAAATACGTGCATAGGTGACATACTAAGCATACTAGTTTACCTTGAAAAGCTTCATAGAAAACACCGACCTTACCTAACCTTCTTAGTATGTTAAGATAAGCATCTTATTGCTTCGTAATTACAATTATTACTTAACCTATTTTAGGTATATTTCAATTCCTGCGTCCCAGCGGTTGGCAAGCACGGTGGAGCAAGCAACCTGTTCTAATAGCAGGTCGTATTTTGACGTCTACTTTACTCATAGTAAAAAATTCCCCAAAATACTCCCAACCCCCAGGTAGCCGGTCGGTCGAGCGGACAGCGCGCTGGTCTTGTGATCCTGTGGTCCTGGATTCGATCCCAGGCGTCGGCGAGAAACAATGGGCAGAGTTTCTTTCACCCTATGCCCCTGTTACCTAGCAGTAAAATAGATACCTGGGTGTTAGTCAGCTGTCACGGGCTGCTTCCTGGGGGTGGAGGCCTGGTCGAGGACCGGGCCGCGGGGACACTAAAGCCCCGAAATCATCTCAAGATAACCTCAAGATAACCAAGTGTGCGGGTTCCAATCCTCCTGCTCATGGTTTCTATATATTTTCTCATAGCGCTATTGAATCTCTCAATATATTAGCCTAGTATTCTCGGGCTGATTAGAGCCAATCCGTAAACTCCTATGGCATAATATGGTTTCGGTCTACCATGATGCCATAAACTCCCAGCTACCTATTTACTGCTAGATGAACAGAGGTACCAGGATGAAAGAATCTCGGCCCATTTGTTTCCGCCTCCACCAGGGATCGAACCCAGAACTTCAGGACTACGAATACCGAGCGCTGTCCATTCAGCCGTCAGTCCCTGGTCGGGTTTCCACACGTGTTTTAATAATATCTTCTCGAGTCTAACAATAATAGTTGACAATCACCTGAAACAATCGTACATTTTTGTGTGCGAAAGATGTACACATTTAAGAGTAGGCGAAGGAGTTGGTGTATCTAGTAAAGCAATATCGAATGATTAAGAGAAACCGGCTAGCTAGCTAGATCTATCTATATCTAATAACGCCTCTAAGATACTCAGACTGGAAGGTATACCACAGTTCAGGCCACACAGGTGAGGGGTAAGACCAGCAGAGGGCGCCAACTTCCCGCTAAAACCAAGAAAAACAAAAAGGCGGGAAACCACGCCGTGCTGCCTGTCCCTATTTTCAGCCCCACCTACACTCGCACCCCTGGCTCCCGCCCACCTACACCCCTGGCTCCCGCCCACCTACACCCACCTACATCCCCACCCCTCGCCCCCACCTACCCACAGATCAATTATACCCACTTCTCCTTCCGCCCTTTGCCGCGGGTAAACCATTTCACGCATAATGGTAACAGCGGAGCCCCATGACGAGCGGGACGCCACAAATACCCAGAGAGCTGTCACAGAGCGGCCGTTGGAGACAATAGGTGGCCCGCCCTCCCTTGCCCGCACCACAACACTTCCACCACAGGCGGAACCCGACCTCTCCTGCACCCCCCACCACCACCACCTGAGGACCACAACACGCTACAGGGAGGGATGGTTCTCCAACACAACCTACACGTGCACCAATAGTGTTCTACCGAAGGCGGCTAGTTTATTGTGCACCCTATACTCATCCTGTGAGCGGTAGCGCAAAAGCATTACAGAGGGGACAAAAGGTCTTTATCAGACCTTATCTTAGATTATTACATAAACAATTTCATCTATCCTTCACACCTTATAGTTACAATGTCAGCTAGTTACAGAGAAAGTGCTATTACAAGAGCTACCCTCTTCTGTGGGTTCCGCTTCACGTTACTGGCATAATACTGTAACCAAATGATTTAACGAAGACTTCGAAACGGTCATTCAGGCATTAGGGAACAAAAGCCGCCAGGTTCGTATCTCCAAAAACCTTCGGCTTCAAGAGACAACCAATACAGTAATTAACTCTGTAGCTGCGCTGCGGTTTACGGAAATGGCACAGGAGTCTAGCAATCAATAAACCACAGGGAGTTATCTTGAGGTTATCTTGAGATGATTTCGGGGCTTTAGTGTCCCCGACGCCCGGTCCTCGACCAGGCCTCCACCCGCAGGAAGCAGCCCGTGAAGCAGGTAGCTCAAGCTATTCTCACCCCGTTCAGTACATCGTGTTAATACATACAAACACACACACATCATAAACAATAAACATATTACCAAACATTCTGAGAGATAAACATATACATTTCCTCCTGTACACAAGTACCCGTAGGTGGAAAACTTAGTGTTCAAGAGAGAACTGGATAAGCACCTCCAAAGGATACCTGATCAACCAGGCTGTGACTCATACGTCAGGCTGCGAGCAGCCGCGTCCAACAGCCTGGTTGACCAGTCCAGCAACCAGGAGGCCTGGTCGACGACCGGGCCGCGGGGACGCTAAGCCCCGAAATCATCTCAAGATAAATCTTTCATGGATCGTAGCGGCTTAGTTTGTACTTGTTTAA